GGCCATAGATCCAGACACTGTAGGTCCAGTTAAGAGACAATCTCTTGGGCCAGGGATGTAGCTCAGTGGCATAGCACTAGCTTGGCAAGCATAAGGTAATGAGTTCAACTCCTGGTACCAAAAAAAAAAAAAAAAAAAAAGGAACTATCTTTCATATGTAATAGCTATGGCAAACTGGCCAAAAGGCCACTGACCACTCTCATAACCTGCTGTCTTCAAGCTAGGTCCTGACTTTGAGGAACCATAGTCATTCCTTCATTCAATAAACATTTATTGGATCTCTATAGTTCCAGTTTAGGATGCTACACTATGGAACAAAACAGAAAATAAGAAAAGCAAATATAAAAAACCAGAAGTCAGCATGTTAAGAGTAAAATACAAATCAGCAATTATTCTTGAGCAGCCTAATATATATATGATTTCAAGATATAATTTGGCCCCAATAAACAATGAATTATACCACAGTTTAAGAGCCATTTGGAGGCAAGTTCAGTTGCTGGTGACAGATAAGAATGCTGCCTCATGTAATTTGGGTTGGAGGCCCAGTATCAGTCAGGTGGAGTGTCTCTTCCCTGTGACACGATATAGGAAAAGAGCTGAATGGAGAAAAATGCAAATCTGTTGGGCAGATCTGGACAACAGGAGTTCTACTTGGGTCTGACAAATGTTGGAACAGCAATAATGTGATTTTGAAGCTTTCCAAAATAACTCAGAAAAGACTATGTGATGGGTGTGTGTGTGTGTGTGTGTGTGTGTGTGTGTGTGTGTAAGAAATCAGATTTAATTAACATCCTAAGACAGGAAACAAAGTTAACAGTGAGCCACCCACTCCGTATATTTGTGGCATTCAAAAAACTGAGCTTCCAGGCATAGGCTGAATGGAGAGGGGTAGAAAGCCGACATTTGTTGATGCCAATGAGTATTTTTAAATACTTCTCTTCCTCCCAATACCAGGAACAGCTCCATCATCCTTTAATAGTGGAGGAAACTGAGGCACAGGTTATTTGGTTCTCAGTCCTTACAAGTTTACGGTTTTTCAAAGCCCCATTTTCTATCTTCCCTGGCAAATCATAAAATTTAAATTTCACTGCTCCATTCAAACACCCTGCAGCATTTGATGTTTGCACTATTTTCATTTACTCTCTGCACATCTCATCTGCGGGATGTCAATAATGAGGTGTGAGCTGGCATGAGGATGCCTCATTAATCTCTAATACAAAAAGAAATCTCTTAGATTCTTTAAAAGCATATGATCACTGCCTGGGGACTGGAAACTGTGTCTTGTCCCCTTGTTATAAAATTACTTATGGGCAAACATTAGCTATGCAACCTTCAATGTAAAATCTTAATTACTGCTTTTTAAGCTGATTTTGGGCCCTCTGCAGGAGTATAAATTAGAAGAGTAATGGCCAAATAAATTAGAAGAAAGGCTGCACAATAGCATATAGCTGCTCCAAGGTCTAGAAACAAATTCCCAGGATTGGATTGACTTTTGCCATTCTTCCCATTCATCCTTGCTTCAGAGGAGTGAAAAGGAACAGAAAAGAGGTGAAAAATAGGTATGACCTTAGTTCATCATTATCCTTCACCTACCAAAGAAGGCTCTACTATTATTCTGTGGTTTTCTGGAGGACAGGACCATGTCTCATCTCTGTGTCCCCACAGCCTGGTTACCATCATCAGCACACAGTAGGGCTTAATTAATGCTTATTGAACAAAACTTCAGTAGCCTAACCTACTTGCAGATATTCTATACATATTTGCAGAGATGATTCCATTGTTCTCACTCCACTGCTTAATCATTATACTTCGTTCAGTTTAATACTGAATATATTTTGGTCAACATCAGGATAAGAAAAAAGGGATATAATTGCTGAGTATGACTTGTGGGATGGTCTGGTGCCCCTCATTTAGCAGCAGAGACTGAAGCCAGGGAGACAAAACCACATAACAACTGCAGGGTCAAGCTAAGAGTTCTGCTCTCTGACCCCTCCATCTTCTCTCCCACCTCACATCTGTTCAACATCGCCTAGCAGAGGGGAAAGTTGGTCACGAGAGCGGACACGAATTAAGTGGTCAGAGGGAGCTAGGTGAGAAATTGAACAATTGAAAAGAATTAGAAACAGTTTAGATTTCGTAACCAAAAGCAAGCAGCAATCTGTTCCCTACAAATGAAAAAGAAAAATCAGTATTTCTAGGAGCTATTTAGAGGATCCAACTCTAGTTTATTGGGAGTGAGGAAAGCCAAGCTCCAAGATCATCAGACAAGGTCCTCCATCATTCTCTAGCTGGGTGATTGTAGGTTATAATCAGCTTCTCTGAGTTCTAGGACCCTCTTCAGTAGAAGGAGGTCAACGAAAGAGAGGATTCCACTTAGAAAGTTATTCTAAAGGTGAAATGAGAAGATGCATGAAGAATATTTTGACCAGGGACAATGCACAGTAGGCAATTCATCAGTGAGGTAGCTTCTCTAAGTTTGATACTACTTCTGACAATTATCATGATAGCATACCACAAAGAAGAACCGTCACCTGGCTGTGATGGTAAGTACTGAAATCACTGCATTTTACCAGCTTTTCGTTTACTGAGTAGTCTGATTTGGCAGGGTGCCTTCTCATGTTAATGAAAAACTGGGATCTGATCATTGTGTTTTCCAGGCTAAAGCAGGGAAACCAGGTCTATAATAGCAAAATTAGGAGAAAGAGGGACTAAGATTGCCTAGATTTGTATTTATCAGGCCTGTATGTCAAAATTAAACATTTCTTACAGAGCAATATAGAGAATGCCTTATAGCTGTGTCTTTATTGGTCTACTGATGTGAGGGTCCCTGCCCCCATTCCCATTCCCAGAGCCATAGATGATGGCTTAACTTTATTTATTCATTTTTTTAATGTGGCAGAACTGGGGATAAAACCCAAGGGCACTCTTTCACTGAGCAAAATCCCTGGCCCTTTTTAAAAATTTGAGACAGGGCCTCATTAAGTCCTTAAATTGTCCAGGCTGGCCTCAAACTCATGCCTCAGTGTCTCCAGTAGCTGGAGTGATAGGTGTACACCAGGCTTAACTACATTTTAAGCAAGGAGCTACAAGCTGGATGCTGGGCTTTGGCTTTGCTGAGCTTCATCTCAGCTGTGATGAAACTGTTCAAGACCAGAAGGGATCTACAGAAGCTGCATGGGGAATTGTTGACTGTAGAGGAGAAAAATACTTCTAGAGAGGATTACTGAAGTATTGCTTGATACATGCAAACAAAACCCTCTTCCCTACCTCCCATGAAATTATCAATAAGATAAAATTTGCCTGTGAAATCTTTGTAGAATTGTATGAGGGAGTGGTTGGGATAAAGGGCTGAATCAGGACTCCAAGTTGCCAAGGAACAGAGTGAAACCACTGACCCTGCCTGGGAAGCCCCTGCAGTATAGGAACTGCAACGGTACACAACATGTTAACATTTAGAGAGATCTTTTTATGTGCCAGGGTCTGCCTGAAGTATTTTGCATGTGCTTAATAATCCCATGAGCAGGCACTATCTTCATCTTTATTTTACATATATGGAAATTATGGTGGTTTAGGAGCTGAAATAACTTGCCCTGGGCTGGGAAGTCAGCTGGGATGGAGGCAGCCTTCAAAATTAGTGAACTTTGACTCCAGGGTCTTCCTTTTAACCGCTATGTTATAAACCAAGTTCCCAGTTACTAATTGATTGCATAATTAATATATAAAGGGGAATCAGGCGGTGACCTTTGCCATCCACTGTTCTCTCCCATTAATTAAACTTGGGAAGTAGATGGGTGTGCTCCTCCTCCCTTCCCCCTCCAGGGTGCCCCTCCAAGGATGGGCCCACTAGAATAGCCTTCCCAGAGAAAAGAGCTAGGTTTTGTTCAAGTGACTAGTAACAGTGGCACTTTGCTGATATCTGACTATGTACTTGTTTATTTAACATTTATTGAGGGCCAACTGCATACTCACCATGTGGTAGGCATTGAACAGAGTATACTGAGCACTGAGAAGAGGTACAAAAATAAATCAGACAGAGAATATGTCCTCAAGGCACTTAAAACACTGGGAGAGACAGGCATGTATAAAATTAAATATATGTGGTTAAGAATATCTTAATTAAGGCTGTCTTAACTTACCATAAAATGAAGAACAGATGAATACTCTGAAATCTGAGAGCTGGGATCAATTACTTCTAGTGTGGGCCTAACATGGAACTGGAAGCCTGAGAGAGGTGTCATGCAGCTGAGATTGCAAAAGCAAGCACAATTTAAATATGCAGAGAAAAGGAGCTCAAGGATTTTTTTCTAAAAAAAGAAGAAACATATGCACAGAGACCATGAAGTACAGGGTGGTATAAGGAACTTAAAGGACTTCTTTTTGGCTGAAGGGTACTACCTGAAAAGGAGAGTTGTGGTTGAAGAAAACAAGGAAGGGAAGGAGGGAGGGGAAGACTGAAGAGGTGGGAGGGGAAGACTGAAGAGGGCCTTGAAAGCCAAACTGAGAGCTCTTTGCTTCATCAAGCAGATCCATCATTGTCAGATGGCCGTGTTGTGGCCCAATTCTTGCTCCATAAATGTTTGCTATAGTTTGGATGCTGAATGTCCCCCAAAGGCTCATGAGCTAAAGGTTCAATCTCCAGGCTTGCACTTTTCAGCCAAATAAGAAGTAAGGTGAGCTTGAATCACTGTGTGCAATAAATAGAAATGCAAGGCCCAGGAAACCCAGAAGATGCCAAATTACATGGGAGAAGGGCAGGCAGGGACACCAAGCAGGATAGAAAACCTCTCCAGAGCCTAGGAGGCCAGACAGATAATGGTGTGTGTATGTGCATAACTGGATGTCACCGCTGGGCTTGGGTAAGTGACCCAAAACACAGACTTTCCACCTCAAAGGGGTCATTCTGAGAGTAACGACTTGATAGAACTGAGATAATGAGCTACCATATGATTAAAATGAAATATTGAGAATTTAAAAATAAAGGACCCCACCAAACAACCAACCTCAAAACACTTTTCTTGTCTTGCTTGGTGAAGTAGGCTGGCCATTCCAGGAAGCAGAACTGGGAAGATGAACGTTTCCAAATATTGTCTAGGAGAACCTAAAATGAAATCTTGCTGCAGATCTCAAGCTGCTCAAGTTTATCTGGAGGGGCACATTTGTTGTTGAACCAAAAAAGATCCTGTCCATTCAGTAACACAACCTTAAGTGAGGTATTTCGTTCCAAATCCCTGAGTGGGGCTATATTATTAAAGAAACCTAAAATGTTCCTCTGCGGTTTGGTGAGAGTAGTCCAGGTCCTCCACAAGGCCAGGTCCACCAGCTTGTTACAGCCCTGAGCAGTAATGGTAAGGAGGCCAGAGGGACAGAGGGACTTACTCAAGGAAAGTGTGGTAGGAATTGAGGCTAGAGAGGAACCGGGGTGGGAGTATCGCGGACAGCACCATAGGACCACAGGGCTGGAAGCAGTGGTTGGCAAGGCCCAAAGCACACCAGTAGAAGGCACAGAACTGTAGAAGGCACAGAACGGGAGCAGAGGGCCAGGCACTAGAAAGGCCAGGACTGGGGGTAGGATCTGCCTCAAGGGAGGGCAACATGGCATTTTCTTCTACTTTTTGCATTTGTTTATACCTTTCCTGCCCTCTTTGTATTTAATGTAGAATCTGGGTATGCTTATTGTTACTATCTCTATTACATTTTAACCCTAAAAATAAATCAGTGGAATTGAGGATACTTTTCTGAAAAACAAAAACACAACACTGCATTGAAAGTCTAGTGAATGCAGTAAGATAAATTAAGTAATTAAAAGGCTAAAAAATAATTAGAAGAATACAGTCTTATTTCCGTGGTCTCCCTGAAGCCTGTGTGACCACCCCCACCCTGTGATTTTGCAATGTTATAAACCCAAAATTATAAACGATGAAGCCGCACTTGCTTACTTACATGTTTTTGGATCAACTGTTTCAGATTTATTTGGAGGACAAGGTGCTTTTGAGGCGGTGGTGGAATGGGAAGCTAGGAAATAGTGTTCTGTGTTGAAGTCATGGGAAACCAGTTCCTCCAATAGTGAAACCTGGCAGTGGACAGGGAGGGGAGTCAATTCCTATCAACAGCTTAAATAATTATTTTCTTTTGTAACTTTACAAGGGAGTAAAATCCCACGTTAGATTTTAGGTTCAAGAGCACACGCAACACATATCTTTGTCTCCTTTCCTTCCTGAGACACCTATAAATGACAGTCAAGAAATAAACCTCTAGTAGAAGAAACAGGAGGGCCATCTGTGGATGAGAGATTGGACAACAAATCCAAACGAAGCAGGGATAAAGCCTGTGTTGATAAGTGGGAGGGGAAATAGTAGCCACAGGCGGAAACGGTTTGGGAGAACACAGCGCATTTTCCCACCAGAATTCCAAAGGGGCTCGGGCTTAGAGTTGCCAGGCATCACAGTGGGCAAGAGAGAAAGGGAACAACACACAGCAGGGTTGCAAGAAAATCTGGCTGGGCTCCACCGGCTGGCAACCCACATTCCTTTGCCTCTCAGTATCCATGAAGCTACCTTCACACCAGCCTTTTATATTCAGCTCCCCTCCTCTCCAATCACATCTTTGTCAACAAATGAAACAAACAGCCTGAGAGGAAGCAGAACTGTGTAGAGCACCATGCTGGTGGCCCAGCCAGAAAAACCCAAAACAGTGAACATTGATTTGGAGGCTCCCTGCTCAGCCTGTGTTATGGTTTGCGTCTAGATGTTCCCCCAAAGCCTCATGCAGTCATAGGTGGGGCTTTTCAGAGGTGGCTAGATCTAGTGTGTGTGACACTGGGACTGATTCATAGTGCAATGCTTGGATTAAGCGTGCTAGGATTAAAGGTGTAAGGGCAGGTAGCCTGGATACAATATAAGGGACAGAAAGAGGCTTGTGGGTTGTTGCTTGCTTGCTGCTTGCTGCTTTTGTTGTCTTCTGCCTGCCACAAACTGTTTCTCCTCTGAATGTCCCTCTGCCAGGCCACTCTGCCTTGTAGTCACCTAATTATGGACTGAAACCTCTACAAACTGTGAGCCAAAATAAACCTTTTCCTCCTTTAACTTTGGCTGTCAGGTATTTTGTCTCAGCAATGAGAAAACTAACTAAGACAGCCCCCAAATATTGACTCTTCCTGCTCACCCTGAAGAAAACCTTCCAGTGGACTAGCACTTCCCATAAGCAACTGCTCAGGGGATTTCTATTTGTAAAAGATAACCATCCAGAAAACCTACAGGTACAGTGGTAGAAGAAAAGCACACTAGCTGTTTTGGTTAATTTTGAGGGTTAATTCATCTGGATTAACGCATGCAGAGATAGCTGGTAAAGCAGCAATTTTAGCAGGGTATGGTGAAACCCACCTATAATCCCAGAGTTTGGAAGGCTGAAGCAGGAGGATCATTGTAAGTTTCAGACCAACCTGGACTACATAGTGAATTTAAGGCCAGCCTGGACTATGTAGCAAGACCTTGTCACAAAACAAAAAGTCAGCATTTCTAGGTGTGCCCATGAGGGTGTTTTTAGACATCAGCCACTGAGTTGGTAGACTGAGTGGGAAAGATTTGCCTCCAATGTGGACAGGCATCATCTAGTTGGCTGGGGGCCTAAATGGAACCAACAAGTGGATGGAAGCCAAATTCTCTCTCCTGGAGACAAGATGCCCTTTTTCACCTGCCCCAGGATACCAGAATCCCATGTTCTATAGCTTTTGGGCTCTGGAACTTGCATCAGTTCAAGTTCGAGGCCAGATCTCAGGCCTTCGGCCTTGGTCTGAGATTTATACCAGCTGCATCCCTGTTTCTGAGGCCTCTGGACTTGGACTAAGCTATACTACTGACTATCCTGGTTCTTCAGCTTGCAGATGGCCTGTCATAGAACTTCTCAGCTTTCATAATTGTGTGTGAGCCAATTCCCCTAATAGGGCCCCTATCATCTATCTATCTATCCATCTATCCATCTATCTATCTATCTATCTATCTATCTATCTATCTCTGTATTTACCTCCTATTGGTTTTGTCTCTCTGAAGAAGCCTCAGATACCAGCTATATGGAAAAATCCACTCAGAACCCCATTTTAAATTTTAAATAAATAATCAAAACTCTGCACAAGAAAATTAACAGTATACAAAAACAAAGATTAAGATACATAAACAGAGCAAATGACTACGGAATAAGGACAAATAATTCAGGGAAGAAAAAATGTAATTAGTATCTACATAAAAATTTCAGACAGAATTGTATCCATACATGAAGAACAGGATACTGGCCACTGTGTCCTCTCTTGCAGGATAGCCACCCTCACACTATAGTGTGTACTCCTTTTCCTACTTTAACTTGGCCCAAATTTGCTCTGCAGAGCCTGTTTCTTTTCCTACCGTTAATAAAACTTTGCAACTGTTTAAAAAAAAAACCAGGATACTATGAAAAAGAAACAATCATAAACAAAAAAGAGCTTTAGACACAGAATCTCTGTCAAAGGCAGAGATTAACATTAGTGTCAGACTACAGACAGAGGCAGACTATAGATAGCAGCTAGTGGAAGTAGAGAAATATAGATTTAGGGTCCATTGGTATGACCTTGCTCAAGTTGTTTCAGCATTTTTTTTTTCAGTACTGTGGACTGAACACAGGTAATTTATACTGAATACATCCCCAGCTCACTTTTTACTTTTTTTTTTGAGATAGAGCTAAGTTGTCCACACTGGGATGAACTTTTTATTGTCTTGCCTCAGCCTCTCAAAATGCTGAGATTACAGGCATACCCTACCATGCCTGGCTATGTTTTTGAAATTTTAAATTCCACTAAGTGCCTATTAATCCCAAGGCATACTTCCAAGGGCCTCCCTTTCTGGTTGCCCTGTCCCTGACCCCTCTGTCTTCACCTGGCCTGCCCTGGCATGCAGAGAAGCTTGCTCTGTTCACAAACGTCCCCAGTACAAATATGATGTAAGATCCATTGTAAAGGCCTCTCTCACCCAAAAGCTCATCTAAGCCCCATGCAGACACTATGAGTTAGTCAATGATTGCCTTTCCCGTAACAGATGCTGAAACTAAGCTTTAAACACTGTTAACAGTAGAGTTAGGGTAACCCCATCTTTCTAGTGCTAGCTCCAGTGCACTCCTCATCTTGCCTCGCTAACTCCTAACATCACCCGACCTTCCCCAGCCATACATGCTGTTCTCATTTAAGAGTCTTTTAGTAGGTTGAGACCTGGACAATACTCACAGTAACTGGAGTTTCTTGTCTGATCATATAGCCTTCTGGAAACTGAGGCAGCTCAGCTTCATATTCTAGAGAGAAGGGAAAAGTCTTCAATTTCACATTTCATTGCCATTTGTGATGTAATGTCCTTTTCACTAAGTAAGACAATCATAAATTTTATTTCAGCTGATGCTTTACAGAAATGAAAAATAACAGGTTATTGCAGGTGAACACTTAATATGGATAAGCTCCTTTATTTAAAATAAATGAGATGGTTGGTCTCTCATACTAAAGCTCCAGGCTTTATATAAGAGTCTGAGACTTCTCCCAAGAAGATACAACTTAGATTTTGCTCGAACATAACTACAAGGAATAAGCAGAGGGATATAATAGGGAGGGTGATTAAGGGAAGATAGCAGTAGCACACATGCAGTAGAGACCAACACAGAGAACACTTCACCCTGACAGCTGCCTTAATGCTGAGAGAGGGACAGAAAATGTTCACGGGCTATATTAGTTACATCCCTAAAGGAAAGACTAGTAAAAAAATATTCTGGAAAGGTTAAAAGGCAGCTGCACATTCATTTTGCAATAATGAAGAAAAATAAAGTTCCTAGGTAAGATGGCACTGATGGAATGCAATGTACTGGATGTCAGTTTCATTCGGTAATAGAATATTATTCAACTTTTTTTTGTTTTGAACTCCTAAGTTTCAGGCTGGGGACAGGTACAGCAGGCAATAAGCAAATCTGCTTCCCCATACCAGCTAATTCTGTGTCACAAGTTACAGCAGTTTTGGTAGCTATGGTAGCTTTGATCTAGAATGTCTCAAGGCCCATGTGCTAAGGACATGCATGTTGGGAGGTGGAGGAATTCTTAACAGGTGGGGCCTGATGGGAGGCCTCCATGTCCCTGGGGATGTGCCACTGAGGGAAACAGTGGAGCTCTAGCCTTTTCCTTCTCCTTTGCTACCTGGCCATGAGAAGAATGGTTTTGCTGTGCCAGGCCACTCCTCCATGATGCGCTGCCTCACCACAGGCCCATAAGTAACAGGGCCAGTCAACCATGGACTAAAATGTCAAAAACTGTGAGCCAAAATAAACTCTTTGTCTTCATAAGCTGATTACCTCAGAAATTTGTTATAGTGAGGGAAAGTGAACACACTCTTTATCCCCAGAAGATATGTCCCAAGACATCTCTCAGAGGCCTAAAGTCACAGATTGTACTGAATATTACATACATGTTTTTTCCTATTCATACATACTTATGATAGTTTAACATAAATTAGATACAATAAGAGATCCGAACAGTAACTAATAATAAAATGGAAAAGTCAGACACAGTGGCAACTTAGTAAGTGAGCAATTTAGCAAGACCCTATCTCAAAAAAATAATTATGGTAACATCTTATAATAAGTTCCGTACAATTATGTTGATTGCAGGTAACTAAAATTGCAAAAAGTAAAACCTTAGATAGAGGGGTACTACTGTACAACAAATTTAGGGATTTAAAGCAACACAAATGTATTACATTATATTTCTCTTGAGCTAAAAGTCTTGGAATAGAGCTGGGTATTAGCACACATCTGTAGTCTCAGCTACTCAGGAGGTTCAGGCAGGAGGACCACAAGTCTGAGATGAGCTAGGTGTCTTAGTCACTTTGTTGTTGCTGAGACAATACTGGACAACTGCAACTTACAAGGAAGAGAGCTTCATCTTGGCTCTTGTTTCAGATAGTTGGTTCCAAGGAAGGAGAGCATAGCACAGGGACACAGCTGGTCATGACATGAGAGTGGGGAAGCACAGAGAGAGAGAGAGGGAGAGAGAGGGAGAGAGAGGGAGAGAGAGAGAGGGAAGAGGGATGAAGGGAGGGAGAGAGGATAGAGGAGTCAAAAAAAGATACCCTCCCAGTGACTAGCCTCTTCCTACCAGACCCCACCTTCTAACAGCAAGTCAGCTCCACCATTCCCATAATCCATTCACCTTCCAAAGGTCCCATGTCTGAGCACATGAAGCTTCAAGGAACATGGAGAGCTAAACCATAACACTAGGCAACTTAGTGAGATCCTGACTCAAAACTTTAAAAAATTTAAAAGGGCTAGGGAAATAGTTCATTGTCCCTTGGATTCAATCTACAGGAATATCCCCCTCTGCAGACACACACGTGTATGCACAGAGTAGTCTGGGGATGGATTCAGGTCCCATTATGCTGGAATGAAGGCACCAGCATGTCTGTGACTTTATCTGAGAGTTGGGGTCCTTTTTGGAGGTCACCAATCAGTAGAATTCAGTTTCTTGGGTTACAGGTGTGAAGTCCATGTTTCTTTTTGGCTGTCACCTGAGAGCCACTCAGCTTCTAAAGGCCCTCTTGGGGTCCTCGCCAAAAAGGCAATGCACAACGGCTATTGCTATAAGCCCAAGGAGTCTCTTTAGCTTGAATCCTTGACTTTTTTCAAGGGCTTGCCTGACTAGGTCAGGCTCATCCACAGTAATCTTCCTAATTTAAAGTCAACTAATTACAGACCTTAAATACATCTGGAAAATATTTTCAAAGCACACCTGGGTAGATGTTTAATGGAGAGGTGTGCACTGGGAGGTGAAAATCTTGGGGCATGTTAGAACTATTTTTCCTACTTGGGCAAGCATGTGAAATCCCCTGTCCCCCTCCACAACCTTGAGAACCACTTGAGGTAGAATGAAAAGTGTTTGAGTTTAAAATATATACATTTATAAGTTTCTCAGTCTACGTCAAATTGCTCAAGCACAGAACTTTTTAATTCTCTCCTTTCTCTTCATAATTGACATCAATTTTCCCCTTATTTGAATTTTGTAAAAACTAACAGCTATCTTTTCTAATAGACTGTAGGTTTTGGGAGGGAAGTACCTGGGTTGGTTTGTGCTAGTGTGTCTCCAAATAATACTTGCTGGATGAATAAATGAATGGTGAATGGATGCATAAAACACAGTTCAGCAAGTTACGGTTAGATTCACTCACTCACATCTACTGAAAAGCTATTACATGCCAGAAACTAATCTGGGAGCTGAATATTGGGCCTTTTGGTACCACTACCTATGGCATACTATATTTATTTAACAAGTTTTCTGTTGGTGGGCATCTGGGTTATTTCCAATTCTTCATTTTACAAGCAGTGTTGTAATGAGCATCTTTATAAATACATCATTGATCTGAATGGAAGTACTTTTTGTAGGATTAATCCTTACATTGGAATTATTCTAACAAAGGAAAAAAAATTACAATTTGGGCAAATTGCCAAACTTTGCAACAGAAAGTTTGCATCAACTTCTGTTCCTAACAGTGAGACTGCCTGTTTTTCTATGGTATACTCAATCTTACACATATTTAAAATGATACAATACTTTTAGTTGCATTTCTTTGATATTTGCACTTTTCCAGTGAAATTTCTTAGTTCTGTTAAGTTTGATAGGAAAGACAAGTTTCTCCATCATCTGACCAAAAAAAGATACACAGTTGAAATGATTATGAAGAAGTATAGGAAAATACATTAGCTTCAGGAAAATCTGGTGTGTTTACCTGAAGCGTCTGTAATGTTTAAGAAAATCCAGCATAATTGAAAATTTGTCAGTTTCACCTTATGATTTCAATTTGAATATAATTAATTACAAACTTGCTAGTAGACCGAAATGCACAAGTGAATTTAAATTGAGTCTGTAAATAGCACTGAACTCTTTAAAATAATTTAGCAGTTTGATTTTTTTTTTCAGTACTGGGGTCTTTGCACTGAGTTACATGAGCTATACTTCCCAGCCTTTTAAAAGTTTTAAAATCTTAAGACAGGTTCTTGCTAAGTTACCAAATTGCCCAGGCTAGGATTAAAGTTGCGATCTTCTCTCACTTCAGCCTCCCAGTAAGCCGGAGTTACAGACTTGGGCCAAATGCCCACCTGATTCATTTAATTTCCAAGAATTACTCTGATGCTCAGAAAAATTTGCTTGTCTGATCTGTTCTGCATTACAAGTGGTTAAGGAAGTTAGGTATATTAAACTTATAACTTTATAATCTTTCAATTACTGAAGCCTATGAATGGGAGTACGGAAATTCAATGTTATGTGACCATTAAATGAACTTTAAGAACAAGGGGGAACAGTTGCTCATTTTATACAACAATCTGTAAGTAGAATCTACAGAAATTGGCAAATAAACATGATCATGGAAGGTAACAGGGAAATGTGTAAGATGAATCCCCAGTTTCTGGGCTAGACAGCTGAGTGAATGACGGCGATATTCACTGATGGAAAGCAATTTGTTGGTGTCTAGAATTGCCCAGAATCATGAATTTGTTGGTGTCTAGAAATTCCTGGGTCATGTCTGATCCTGCACTGAAAACACTTCCCAGCACTGGCAAATACATGTTGACTGAATGCATGAGAGTAACTTCTTTGGAGAAATGAAGTAGAAACTAGTCTACTTTGGGTTGACAAGGGAATGGAAATGGAAGTGGTGTGAACAAGGGCAGTGTGTTCCTTCTGGATACGTGGCTGAGAGGGGAAGATGATTTAATAGCTGAATGGGCTGTTAGAAAGTGGGCCTCAGTTGGAGGACGTAGGTCCCTGGGGGTGAGCCTCTGATAGATATATATCTTGTTGACTGGTATATCTCTTTCCCTCTCTGCTTCCAGCTCCTGTGAGGTAAACAGCTTTCTTCTCCGCCATATGTCTGCCATGTTTCTGCCTTGACAAAGGACAAAAGCAATGGAGCTAAATGACCATGATCTGAACCTTTCAAACAATGAGGCAAAATAAATCTTTCCTTCTCTAAGCCGTTTGTATCAAGTATTTTGTTAGAGCAAAATAAAGCTGACTAGTACAATACCAAAGCCTAGGTGGGGGGCTAAGAGGTGAATAGTGGGATAAATACTTCCTCCATGTACATGGACACAAACATATGTGTTGGCATAAAGAACTTCCTAAATGCCTGGTTCTTCGATGAATGCCTCTGTATGCCGAGTGTTATCACAGAACATTTGAGGAAAGACTAAAGCCTCGGGACTGGTGAGTGTGAGCATGGCTAAGGCACTGATGGATGTTGATAGATGAGCAGTGCTGAGAACTGGCTGGTGTTTTTCTCAGGCTTGCTCGGGAACTGCTGTGCTAAGGAACAGCACTGATTCAGAACTGATCCATGTTGGTATCTGGCAGCTAGAACAAGGGATCAGATTTTATCTTAGCATGAGGGCTTTTGAGCTGGAGAGTATCAGATTAAGTGATGAATCAAAGACAAACGAATATTGGTAACAGTAATCATAGCAATAGAAAATAGAAAACTGTAAGCCCTGAATATTTACACTCAATCTTGGTTAAAACCATAGTTAAACATTGTAAGTCACAAGCCACACTAAGATTTGGTTAGAAGCCTTGGAAGAAAAGTTTATTGGGACTAATACAAGTGCTTTTGAGAATACAAAGTCCACAGTCATCACTAGAAAAAAGAGGCAAAGAGTGAAGAACATTTACAAAAAAATTATCGAAGAGGGGCTGGGGATTTAGCTCAGCGGCAAAGCGCCTGCCTGGCAAGTGCAAGGTCGTGAGTTCGGTTCCTGGTACCGGAGAAAAACCAAAAAAAAAAAAAAAAAAACTTATCAAAGAGGCAGGCTCGCACACGCATGAAAGAGCATGAACCAGGGAGGAGAAAAGTCTTAAGTTATATATTTATTTATACTCTATCTTGTCTTCAGTGAAATTGGGTTCCTGTGGCATGCGGTTGTTCACTTTTTAAATGGAGACATCCTAATAAAATTAATGCTTTACTTAAAAATAGGATTACCACGCCTGGCGTGGTGGCGCACACCTGTAATCCCAGCACTCAGGAGGCTGAGGCAGGAGGATCGTTGCAAGTTCGAGACCAGCCTGGGCTACAAAGTGAGCTCAAGGCCAGCCTGAACTGCATAGCGAGACACTGTCTCAAAAAAGACAAAAAAAATAAACAAAGATAAGATTATCACAAAGCTTGTTTTTACATATTTCTTATAAGAAACTGAATTTATTCACTATGTGTCAGTTACAGTCAAGTGCATCTCTTAGATGTTTAAGAATTGGGTTTAATCAGCTAGGTTAAAATAATCACGACAGTGCCCACATATATAATTCACCATCTCTGACCTCATTAACTTCAATTTTTAAACTCCATCACTTTATATATGGCATCAATTCCTTGCTTTCAGAAAGCCTCCACACCCTGTCTTTGCTTTCTCCCTACAGGCCTGATGTACCCAATAAACTGTCTTTAAAGCACAAAGCAAAGCACATTTCTTTGTTGACACTAAGGAACATTTATTGAATAGTTTCTAATTGCAGGCATCTGTCCTGGGCATCTTTGCATACATTTTCTCATTTGGTCTTCACAACAGCCCTGTGAGGTAGGTACAACAATGACTCCCTCTACAAAAGAGATGAGCAACTCCCTAAAGAACATCCTTCTGCTAAGTTGTATTATAAAGAACTGTTAGACTTGGAGAAGTAAACATACTTGGAAAAAGACAGCCACTATAACTACCTTGCAGTACTTGAATGGAGCTTTACAGTAGCGTGACTGGATTAGTTCCTTGGATCACAGCAGCACCAAAGTGTAAGAAACATTTTCTTTTCTAGTGCAATGTAATGCCAGAAGAAGTTGAACCACTTAACAGTTTACTCCGACTGTCACTCAAGCAGCATGTTTGTTTACATTCTGATTATCCTGAGCATTGCTCGGGCAGGTGTCATTTCAACCAGTTGGTTCTTCTAATCAATAAATTTGCTAAAGTTGTTGCTTTTATATTTCCTCTTATATTATCTTATAAAAGTTAACAAAAAATATGCAATTTTTGGTCATCCTGCATTTAAATAATTGGACTGGTAAGTGGCTAAGCACCGGATGAGGGCTGAAATAGGTCCTCCTTTAGACCTACTGATTTTGGGTCCACTATTCTCTTTCTCTGTATTCTCTGTTTCTCTCAACTCATCATACTCCCCCTCCGTCATTTACTACTGCGTTCATTCTTGTTCCCACTCAATAAACATTTACAGACTTTCATAGTCCAATAATCACGTGTGGCTATTAAAATTAAATAAACAATTCAGTTCCTCAACTATGCTAAGTACATCTCAAATGCTCAACAACCCCACACGACTAGTGGCTACCATATTTGACGGCACAGATTAAGAAACAGCGCAGTTTCAGACATTCAAGGTAGTGATGGTGCAGTTGGGTGTGGTGGCGCATGCCTGTGGTCTCAGTACTCGGGACGCGGAGGCAGGAAAAGCATCTTGAGTTGAAGGCTAGCCTGAACTATGAAGCAAGACTGACCAAAAAAAGACAGTGATCGTGGCTACAAGAATCTGAGTCCCTGACTTTGAGACGCTTACAGCCTAGTGGAGGGGAACAGAACAAAACACCCAAAGCTGTTCATTAAGAACAGGTTCTCAGCTTTTGCTGTAAATGAAGTAGTTTGTTAAGCACCGTCTGTGACTACCTGGTTCCATCCTCCTACCACCACAAAACAAGGGCTATTATTATGCCCACTTTATAGACAAGACAGCAAGTTAAGTAACTTGTCCAACATAATTGAAGAGGACTGTAGGCCCACATAAGCGTAAGTGAAACTGCTTGCAGGTGTTGTGTAAGTTTTGACACAGCCTGACGACGGTGATGCACACATGTAATCCCAGCACGATGGGAAAAACAGGAAGATAGGAACTTCAAGCCCAGCTTAGTAAATTTGGCCCGACCTTGTCTCAAAATCCCAGGGCAAGCTGGGTGTGACGGCGCATGCCTGTAACTGCAGCAGAATCACCGCTGAGGCAGGATCACCGCGAGTTCGAGGCCAGCCCGGGCTACATTATGATGTCTCAAAAAACCAAAAACGTAACAGTGCAAAGGCCCTAGATTCAGTTCCCAGTACCACCAACACACACACACAAATCTTCTGAAACAAGAAGGGATTAAAACCCGTTTGTTTACAAGGCACTCAAGGCGTGGGCTTCACATAATAGAATCACTTGGGCACGCAGATCACCTGAACCCCACTGGGAGCTGTTGTCCTGTGCGTAAAATGCGGATGCCGGACCGCCCGCGGCTGCCTACGGGCCTTCAACGTCAGCCGTCAGGCTCACAGTGGGCGCTCAGAAAACAAGGCCCGCCCCGGCCGCCCGGGACCCGCCCCTCTAGGCCAGTCCGGGCTGCCTACCCTCACAGATCTGCTCCCACAGGTTTTTGTCTGGTGGCTCCGCGACCTGTCCCGGGGAGACAGGCTCGGGAGACACTGGAGACACAGTGGGCACGGAGTTCAGGGTGGTGACCAATGAGTCCGAAGAGCCTGTGGGGTCCTCACGCTGGACCGTACGACTAGAGAACTGCCGTGCGGCCGCCATGGTTGCCGTTACCGAGGAAACCGCGTTCACCTCAAGGCCGCGACCCGGAAGGAGCCGGGACTTGCGGGGGCGGTTCAGCGACTCGAAGTTGACTTCCGGGTCACGGCAGAGCGGGCTCTCACGTGGAGGCGGGGTTGTTTGTTCTGCAGGTGAGCGCGAAAAGATCTGTTCCCTCGGGCTCGCGGGGTTCGGGGGTTGGGCCTGGGGTTTGCACAGCGGCGAAGTGGAGAAAAGCGACGTCCTGTACCCCACAACCCGTCCCGGCCCCAGGCTGCCCTCTCCACGAAGTCCTCCCGCGTGGAAGGCGGTCGGGGACCCTCCGTAACCCCTCGCTGTATGCTAAGACGGGAACTTGGGCGCGGCGAAGCCTTTGAGCGGCCGCTCGCACCACCTGACCCCCTTAAGTCCTACCGGTGGGTGCGGTGGGAGTAGGGATCGGTGCAGGGGCTGGGTTGGAATCATTCTTTTGCCACTTGCTGGTTTGTGAGGCAAAATAATCAAACCAGCCCTTACGAGGCTTACGCTGGAGTTTAAAAGCACTTTTAGAGAAAGCATTTGCGTTTACAGAACGTAAGGCTCATTTCCTCGTCCTTTCTCATTGAAAGTGAATACGTTTAGGGTCCCAGGGCTGAAGAGGAGGCGGCTGTGGGGTTCTGAATGGCAAAGATGGGGACAGAAGCGGATTAAGCTGAACTTTAGTGGCTTTATTTTTGTCTGCTCTCTTGACCGTATCCTGAAGCGCGCTGGGCTTTCTTGACTCCATCCTCTCCAGGTCACCACCGCCATCCTCTGCAGGACCCAGTGTTTAAATTTCAGTATTTCTTGGGGTCTTGTCTTGAGTTTTGTTCCAGGCTTAATTACCACCCATACAGTCCTGTTTATGTCAGACACATCTACCCGCCTGTCCAGTGAACATCTCTACTTGGATATCTTGAATCATCTGCCCAAGACAGTCTCTCTACTTGGATTGCCCAAGCTGGAAACTTGTTCTTCAGAAGATATTGATAACTGGTAGGGCAGATTATATAATCTCCATCACCCTCTCCTTACTGCTCTCCTTGCTCTTACATCTGTGGTTGATATTATGTCTCTTTCTCTCTCAAATCTACCAACTTTTTGATAGCTGGTTTATTAATCTTGTCATCTCTGTAGCTCTTGCTGCATTCATTAGTGAGTATTTATTGAGCCCCTGCTGTGTCCCAGGCGCTGTTAGGCCTGAGATTTACACCATAAAACAGGGTGAACAGTAATGAGCAAAAGAGATACGTATTTCCTGACTCCAGGTCCTTTTGGTGGAGATTATGGATGAACTTGAGTCATACCTCAGGCCTGGCCCTTTGAAACTGCTATGAGGGAGCAAGACCAGTGGAGACCCTCTAGGCTGTGAGATCAGGATGGAAAAGCTCCTGGTCTTTCCTTCCCATCATCTAAACTTCCAGTGGGGAAGTATTTTGTTTCTAGATTCTCTGGATGTCTCTGTAACATCTAACCCTGGTGCAGGAGTGAAAAATTGGGCTGTTAGCAGGAGTTAGAGAAGTAGCCCAGGTAGAAGCAGAATTGAGCATGCCAACCCCCTTCCACAGGTACTCCCATTTATCCAAGCAGTGCTAGACGTTTCAGGTTGCCGTGTATCATTGCCAGTCATTAGATGTTAGCAGTCATTTTGAAATGTAAGAACAGTGCAATAGGCTTGCAGTGTGGATGTGGCTCCTGACCTGAGCAACTTCATGTTCAGGTTCATGTTCTCCTTATGTGTAGGGAAACTGAGGTCCAGAGGAGCAAAGGGCAAGAGTGTATCAGAGCCACCATTATTGAGTTTTAAGTGGGGCTTTTTTCACTGTGCCTTGTGGGAAGGCAGTTAGGAAATTGTGAAAGTTACCTGGAGCAAGGATGGGGGACTCATTTCTAAACCCAAAGAATTTTTCAGATGAGCCAGAATATGAGGTTAATTGGGTCACTGTTGATCCTTTTGTGATTTCTGTTTGCTGTATCCAGTAAGAAGTCAGCCTCAAGGGTAGCTATTGGTTTTTCTAGCTTGAACACAGTTGTACTCTCAGTTGCTGGCCCAGGCTAGGCTCTTGGTAAATGCATGTTGAATGAGTGACTTAGAGCTTTGAGGAAGAGAGTTAGAAAAAGGACCAACAAAAACATTTTGCATGGATTATCTCATTTATTCCCTTTAATAACCCTTCAAGGAAGAGGTGTTAGTCCCACCTCCACCCCCATTTCCCAGATGAAGAACCTGAGGTTTGGGAAAGTTAGGTGATTAAGCAGTTTAGATTTTAAACCTAGGGCTTTCTGAATTTAAACTTCTGCTACTTCTAGCAGATTTCCCATTGCTCCAAAAGAATCATAGCCATTTTTCCAATTCCCTAACATTTTAGATCACCCACTTGGGTTTTGTGCAGATTAGTAGAATTGAGCACTTGGGGCTGGCTGTAGTGATAACCTGTACCATTTCTCTTTTCAGAAATGATCACCAAGACCCAGAAAGTAGATGTGGGCCTTGGGCTCCCAGAGAAAAAGAAGAAGAGAAAGGTAGTCAAAGAACCAGAAACTCAATACTCAATTATAAATGATGGGAGTTACTTTGCTGGTACTTCTCCAGTGAGGGCCAAATCCCTCTCTAGGACTGTGAGCCAAGAGCAGGCACCCCATATACCCTTGGTAAAGAAAAAAAAGAAGACGACAGGCCACCGCACCTTTTGCAGTGAGCTCCCAGAATCTGAGCCCACATCACGAGCCGGAAAGACAGAGAAGTCACCCAGCCCCAGGAAACAGGCCCTTGACCACTCAGAGTCCTTCAGTGGGGAGAAAAAAAAGAAGAAGAAGTCCTTGCCTTTGGTCACATCACAGGGCTCAGAGCTAACAACCTCCCTCAACCCCAGACAAGGTGAGGAGGCAACCAGAGTTGGCAAGAAGCTCAAAAAACACAAGAAGAAAAAAAAGGCTCAAGATACCACAGCCTGCTCCATCCAGAACCCTTGGCTCAGTGAGGCGGGAGATGGTATGTACGGATGCATGGTGGGGAATGGCGAGGAGCAGGCAGCCTTGGGGCAGAAAAGGAAGCAGGGCAAGTCCAGAGAACACAGCAGGAAAGTGAAGAAGAAGAAAGTCCACCGGGAGGAAGACACCCTCCTAGGCTGCTCTGAGCTCTCCAGGTCCATGGAAACCAGCCCTAGGAAAGGAAAGAAGAAGAAGCCAGTCAGGATTGAGGTTCTAGAGTACATCCCAATAGGAGAGCACCGTAAGGCCCCAGTGAAGAAGAAAACAAAGGCTAAGAAAAAGGAAGAAAAGCCAGTTGTTGAGCCAGCTCAGAAAAGGAAGAAAAAGAAGAAGAAAGAGAGCACGGTAGCAGTAGATCCTTGTAAGGAGGTAGGTTTTCCCTCAGAAATGGATCTTTCCTTGGGAGATTAGGAGCAGGTACAGTATTGGAAGTGTACACGTGCACCTGGATGTACATTTGCACATGGGGCACTTAGGCTTTTAGCTTCCAAAACCCTGGGGGAGGGGCTGTTGATTATGGAGGGGCTGTTGACACACATAATCAGGATAGGAGTTACCCAGCTTCAGGTATGGCTGGCATAGGAGCTCACACAATATAGTGCAGATAGCCCTTGTGATCAGAGCTGCACCCAAATTCTGACCCTCTGTACTCAGATTCTCAATAATTTGGGATCAGTTTTTCAGATGAATCCTGTGATTTCTGAACTCCTGCCATTTGCTAAGGGTCCAAGCTCAGTACACGTGTTGTAGGAATCAAATGTATTTATATGGCTGTGTGGCTGTGTATTTTTCTTAGTTTTAGTCTTGGTGTCCTCTCTGCTCCCCAACCCCCACCTCATGGCTTTCATCCTAGTAGTTTGACCACCCCCAAAAGAAGGGTGGCCCCTCTGAATAATTACAGGAAATGTTCCAGAGCTGCTGTCAGAGGTCTCAGTTGGGTCACTAGCCAGAGGCCCTGTATGAAACCAGGAGTGAGGTGTTGAGGGTGTCAGTCCCACCTAAACCTTGGTCTTTGTGATTGGGGATGGGGGCCAGTTCCTGAGACAAACACTGGAGGAGTCTAGTACCAGAAGCAAAGGAGTGAACAGTGGCTTGGAGACACCATTGAGAGATGTGGTCTCCCTCCTCACAGGCCTCCTGGAGCATGGAGGGGAATGCTAGAAAGCCAGGCTGGTGACTCCTGAGCCTTTACTAGCTGGGCCCCTGCCAGGGCCAGGCCACCACTTTTGACCTCAGGATGTGTGGGTGGGTGGCCAAGCAAGTGGAAACAAGATGGTGTGTGTCCCGTCCTGCGAGGTGTGCCGTCACAGTGGCTGCCATTTCCTGAGGGCTTACTGTGTGTGCCTACATGGTGATGAGTGTTGTCCGTGTGTTGGCCTATTTCATCTACCCACCAGTGTGGTAAGGTAGCTGCTCCTGTCATCCCACCTAACAGACAAGGAACCTGAGACTCAAGGGAGTAAAGACCTTGTCTGAGGTCATCCTGCTAGGGAGAAGTAGAGCTGGGATTCAGACCCACACTAGGGTTTCTTCTCAGAATCCACGTCTGGACCCTTTCCTAGAAGCCAGTCCTTGAAGCCCAGGAAATGTCTTCCATGAGACAGCCCTAGGTTCTCTTTCCCAGCAGAGATGAAGTGGGCAGGGGGCCACATGAAGGCTCTCTGTACAGGCCTTAAAAGTCTGGATATTCCACTATGTATTTCTTTTTTACTTTTCCCTTTTGCAGTACAAAGATGAACCCAGGGCCTCACACGTTAGACAAGTGCTCTACTATTGAGCCATCCTAGCCGTTGGATTTTCCTGTGAACATCCAGCCCCAGCTGTTGTGTACTTGCTAGGGGCCAACCTGGCCCGGGAGGAGCCTGGTTGATACCAGCTAGAGGGATCTGCCCCAGCCCACTGGAGCTCATCCCTGTGGCCTGCTCTCAGTTTGCCCTGACTGGGTGGCTTCTACATCGGCCTGCAGGAGGTGGTTCTTGTTGCTGATTTAGATTTCCCATCTTTGCCCTCACCGTTAGGTTTGGTTTCACCTCTGTTTGTCTTAAGAAACTTGGGGCCAAGAGGAACTCGTAAGAGGCTTGGAGCCAGCCCCATTCAAATGTAGAATCCCTTCCCCCCAGTAGCCCTGGGGAAAGGGGTCAGCATCTCCCACAGTGGGAACTCTGCCTCTAAGAGTGGCTTATGAGTCAGGGAGAGGCATGTTTTTCTTCCACAGCCAGATGGGTGATGAAAGGCAAGAGAGCATCCTTCAGGCACCACTTAGTACCAGATGCCAGGCAGTACATGCCTGGGTAAGGACCCATGAGTTGTTGTAGTTGAGTCTAATGAAGGACAGGGAAGGCGGCCAGCTTGAGGTCTGTTAAGGCACCCTAGGGGCCGTGGTGAATATGGTTAGGTGGCTTAGTGAGAATATCCCTGGAGCTGAGGCCTGCAAAGGCCTCCACTGTCCTTACTGAGGGAGTGACCTGTGCAGAGGCCGAGCAGCTGCCCAGCAGCTCCCTGGGGGAGCCAGGGGCAGTGGCGCTGTGGAGGTGGGCAGGGGTTATGTGGTATGAACCCACAAATGCCTAAGAACAAGTTTGGAGCTCCGAGTGGGTTTAGATAGGAAGCGAAATGATCCACTGAGATTTTAAAGTATACCAAAGCTGCAGTATTTCATGGACCTGGATGGGTTAGGGAGGCAGGAATTAAGATGTCCTGGTTGTCCAGACAAGAAAGAAGGTGGCCACCAGGACGCAGGACTGGCACTGTGAAGGAGACACTCAGGTGGTCTGTTCCTGACAGGTCCCCAAAACCACCTCTGTGTCCCCTGGCCCCTGTCAGTCCTCCCCTGTTAGTAGGGCTTTTGCCCTCTCCTGCTGTTATGGTGTCGCTGTAGGAGATCAGGTGACGTAGGTACTGGAAAGGTCACATACTATGCCCTGAGTCAGGAGACCTGGTTAGAGTCAGTCCTGTCCCTGAGTGGTGGAGCGACCTTATGTTGATCACTTTCCTCTCTGGGCCTCAGTTTCTTTGTCACATAGCTTGGTGTCACTGTTTTAGGGAAGGACGTGGAGGAGGGTATGCAGGGCTTTGTCAACTGACAGCAGGTGGCAGGGGCCAGAGTGATGCTGTGGTCTCGGGTCTTTTTTGGACCTTGCCACAACCTTGCCCTGCTGGCTGCTGGGGCAGAGGCCATTCGTTTTATACTAGAACCTCACCTGCCTCTTTCCTCTCACACAGGAGCCAGACACAGACCTGGAGGTGGTGATGGAGAAGAAAGGCAACATGGACGAGGCGCACATAGACCAGGTATGGCCTTCCCACTGCCTCCAGCTAGGAGGCACAGCTCCCAAGATCCTGGTCTGACAGGCACCAGCAACTCCAAAGGACACACAACCAGCTTCTGTGGCACCCCTCCAGGGGCAGGGAACTCCTGTCCCCATGCCCAAGGACCCCAAAGCTGTTGAGGCTGTGGCTGAGGGGCCTGACTCGTGCTTTTCTGTAAGCCACTGCTGGATGCTGGGAAGGGATATCTCCATGACTGCAGCCAGGGCAGGGTACATGTGCTCCACTAAGTGCATAGGTTGCTACCGCCTGGGTTAATTCAGGAATGTTTAGGAGAGAGGTTCTGTTGTAGACCAGCTTCTGTTTCTGCTGTGCTTAGCTCTTCTGCAGATGTGTTTGATGTGAGAACAAAGTTTTCTGGAATTGGGGATTTGTTTGAGCCTGAAGTCCCAGGTCTGGTAGGACTGAGGGGTGGCTTGAGAAGCCTGACCTTGGACGGTGCCTTACCATTGGGACCTGGGCAGGTCTCAGCCACACCGACCCTGCCTTTCCTCCTGTGGAGGAGGGATGACTGCACTGCAGACCAAGTGAGGTTATGATTGGAAGGAGTTGGCAGGGCTGGCCTCACAGTCATGCTTGATACATGGCTGCTGTTCCTGACTGTCCTCCCTCACGTGAGTCACTGCAAAGAGCTGCACTAGTGCCTAAGAAGCAGCAGGGTGCAGGGGCAAGATGGAAGGGGCCTATCTCCCACCCCAGGAGAGAGAAATGGAGGGAGCATTTAGAAGTGATCTGAGTCTGAGCACCCAGCCTGCTTTGGGGCATTGGGAGCTCTCCTTAGAGAAGAGCCTTCCTAGTGAGGCCAAGAGGGTAAGGGGCTGACACTGCCGGGGCACTGCAGAGCACAGTCCTGCTTGGCTCCCCAGGGCTAAGGCTGGGCCAGCGCTGCTGGAGCTGCTGTAGTGGGGCTGGGCGTCATGCGCAGAGTTGTGATAGGCCCTGCTTGTCCAGGCCCTTCCTCGTCCCCTCAGCTCCCCAGAGCCTGAGCAGTCATGCTGCTGTGTGCAGAGCTCTTTGCTCTGTAGTTATTTGGGCCTGGTGAATACGGATTCCAAGGTAGTACTGGAACTACAGTGTGACTTAACCTTTCCCTCTTTTTCCTAGAAATACTAAAAGGTTCTTATGTTTAAAAATGGGAAAATAACACACTTGGAGGGGGGAAGAAAAATCACCTGAAATCTTACCACCTGTACTGCTAGTCAGTGTTAGCCCTCTGTGTGTCCTTCCAGATTTTTCAGTTGTAACTGTGTATATAATTGTAGTTTAATAGTATGGGATTGTGCTGTGTACACTGTCCATTTTAACTTCTTCTAATTGCACCTGCTTTTCCTTCAAACATATGCACTTCTGTTAACATCCTTGCATATCTGTAGCATGACTTCACTGGAGGGATGACCTTCGTTTTCTGTCATCCCTATAGCCATTACCTTGACTCTTCTTTTTATAGTTTTAAACTGTGTAAGAGGTCTGTCATTTGACAGCTTTAGGCAGATTAAAAGGGAAGAAAAGGACTAAAGTTATACCTAGATGCTTGGGCAGGAGAAAAGGCCCTGGAAGCATCTGGATGAGCAGCTTGTTGGTGGTCAGTGGATCACCTGTGAATGAGATGTCCCTACTGTGTGCCTGGGTTCTGCTATGTAGATATTTCTGTTTTTCCCATTTATCCTCCAAATTAGCTGAGGCTGTACTGCAGACCAGTGTTCAGAAAGGTTAAGTGATTTACCCTACGCCACATAGCTGGTTAATGGCATTGCTGGGATTCAAATAAGCCTTTGCCTGACTCTATAACCTTTCTTTTAGAAAACAGTATTCTCATCACAGAAATTAACTAGTATCCTGCACAAGAACACAGGGCAAGCTGTGCGTGGTGGTGCATGCCTGTGATCTTAGCACTTGGAAGGCTGAGGAAGGAGGATCGCTGCAAGTTTAAGGCCAGCTTGGGCTACATAGTGAGTTCAAGGCCATCCAGCCATCCTGAACTACAGAGTGTGACCTTGTCTCACCCTCCACTCCCCAAAATCACACAGGGCAGTGACATTGCATTTTTGGGAAAGTTCCCGTGCTAACGGCTGTTATAAACCAAATTGTTGCTTTGGGTAGATGAGCCGTTTATAAGGAATTCATTCTCAAGAAACTGCAAGCTGGGTGTTGGGCTACGTGTGTATAATTCTAGCACTGTGGGAGGAGGATCACAAGTTCAAGCCTAGTTTGGGCAATTTAGTGACTTGGAAAGACTGTCTCAAAATAAAATTTAAAAAGGGCTGGAGGTATAGCTTAATGTGAAGGCCCTGGGTTCAAGTCCCAGTACCACCACCACAAAGAAAGAAAGAAAATCCTTCCTGGGAGGATAAATGAGCTCTGTGCATCCCAAGCCCAGGAGCCGCAGCCCAAAGAGGGTGCTTCTGACAAAGCCTTGCACAGAGTGTACCAGAGTGAGGTTTACCTCCTCAGCCTCTGTCATTTTAAGGTCAGAGGTAATGTCCCTGTCTCTTCCCCTTTGGTTGTCTTGTTAGGTGAGGCGAAAGGCCTTGCAGGAAGAGATTGATCGGGAGTCCGGCAAGATAGAAGCACCTGAACCCGGGAAGTGGACGGTAAGTTTGGTGTCAGGGTCTCTGAAGTGCTTGGTGTTCAGCCAGGCCTCTGAGGAGTCCCGGCCCACTGGCCCACTGCCTCTGCAGCAGTTAGTCCTGAGCTACTTTCCTTACTTCTGAAAGGGGTGCCTGCCTCCCTCCCCTGGGGAATTGGTTGGGTGAGCAAAGCTCCCTGGGCCTTTGACTCCAGCTCTGTTAGTGGGAAGGGTCCCATGGATCAATCACTGACAACACTTTTCAACAAGCTCTTTCTTGCCATGGGTGGTGCCCTCAGAGGGCTGCTAGGCAGGGGTGGGAGTCAGAGGGGAGGTGGGCAGGCCTCTCAAGGGACTGGCTTAAGATCCAGTTGGAGCCCAAGAAGATAGGACAGGTATGAGGCCAGCTTGTGGGCCATGAAGCCGGGCTGCTGTGGATGGTGGCCTGCTCTGTCTTTCCCATTCTTTGCTCATTCAGCTGAGTAACTTCACACCATTTTGGAGCTCCTCTGAGTGCTGTTTTGGATCAGATCTGGAAATGAGTTACTGGCCTTTGTTCTTACTGAAATCTGAGTCTCTAGGCAAGCACCTTCCCTTTCATCCAGTTTCCACACGTGTGAGAGTGGCTCATGCCCTGCATGTGGGGTATGGACAGGGGCTTTGTTGGGTGTCTTTCCCTCCATCCTCTAGAGCTGAGCAGTGCTGATAGGTCACACTGATGGAGTAAGGGCAAGTGGCTATACTGGGAAGGACCTGATGGCAGGAGATCCTGGGGTTGGAATGCTGCGTGCTGCACTTGGCACTGGGACCTTCTGTGTGCTCGCTGCCCCCGGGACCTGGGCCATGTGCCTGTTGAGGCCACTGTGGGGTTCCGAGGTGGCGGCTGGCAGCCTTGGGATGACCAGCTCACCAGGCACAGCCAGCATGTGTCACAGGCCACCTCTGCTCTAGAAACTCCACTTAAGCTGTATTGATTCCCACATCTGGGCCACTGTGCAGTGGGGAGGATGTCTTACCAGCTCACTCGGGAGCTGCAGTGGCACCTTGTTCTGATTATTCTCCCATAGCCGACCTAGAAAAGCATGCAGGCCTGGCATTTGGCTTGCAGGTGGAAAGTTCCAGGGCAGGGCAGAGGTCAGCAGCCTGCTAGGGTGGGACAAGAATGGCTGATTACAAGGACCTCAGATGTGCCAGGAATTGTGTGCTGGGGCTTGGGGAGTCACACCGTCACTCTGTCGATGAGCACATTGAGGGTCAGAGAGGTAGGGTGACTAGACCAGAGCTGTGACAGGTAGCGCTTTACCCAGGACTGTGACTTTCACCCACATCTTGGAGAGCTTGGTTTCTTGCCTCCCCCAGGGTTTTGAGGGGCCCTCCAATTTTCGTGCACATGGAGATTTTCATGTGGGTGGTAAGGTGCTCTGGCTGGAATTGGGACCTCAAGGTCGTGGGCTGGCTCAGCCGGTGACTTAGTTGTGTGACCCTTCTGCACTGTGGGCCTCCCTCCCACCCACGGTAAAGTGCAGCCTTTCTGAGAAGGGAGTACTTCACCTCCCCAGGTACTCCCTGCTGGCTGGTGAGGGCCTGGGTGTTGTGGAGAGGTGTGCCGTTATCTAGGGATGACCACAGTGCTCCTCAGAGGGCTGTGCTTGCATTAGTAAGGCAGTCTGTGTTAGTCTTAGGGGTACTCTGCCTGGCATTTTAACAAGCTTGATTGTCCTTGGTGGGACTGGGGTCCCGGAAAGGAAAGGGCTTTGGATTCAGGGAAAGTAACTGCTTTTTTTCTTCTCCTAACACAGGGAACCCAGTTTGGCCAGTGGGATACTGCAGGTTTTGAAAACAAGGAACAGAAACTGAAATTTCTCAAACTAATGGGTGGCTTTAAGAATCTATCCCCTTCGGTCAGCCGCTCCCCTGGCACGACTGCAAGGCCTAACATGGCCCTCAGCAAGGCGGCAGCCGACACCCTGCAGCAGAAGTTGCAGCAAGACTATGAGCGGGCCATGAGCTGGAAGTACAGCCGTGGCGCCGGACTTGGCTTCTCTGCCGCCCCCAACAAAGTCTTCTACATTGACAAGAATGCGTCCAGGTCTGTCAAGTTGGAAGATTAAACGCTAATGTCTCCTATCCAAACAGCTCAGATGGCTTTTCTCACAGCTTTGCAGATGAAAGCCACCTAGCAGCTCTCCAGGATGCAACCCTATGGAGACTAACGACAAACTGGGTAGCTCATGTGTCCTGGGGGCTAAAACGTATTTTCTATGTTAAACCTTCCATCCCTGTGGTGACAGGGGCATGTAAATAATGGCAGCTGACAGCTGACATTGTTGAGAGTATAGCATGGCCCAGGCACATGCTGTTGTTGCATTAATGTGTTTAATCATTATGAAATGGGTGCTACTCATGAGGCAGCTGAGGTTCAGGGAATGAGTAATAAAATTGCCCAGGGCCACCCACTGTTGAGTGCCATGTGTTACAAGGTTGTACCCTAAGCCCTAAGTCACTAATCACTCTGAATGTCCCTCTAGAGACTTTCACCCAGAATACTTGTCGGGGATTAACTGATGGAGGAAACAGTGTTATAGCATGTCCAATTCTCTGGAAGTGGAGTAAGGGCAATAGGGGATTGGCAAGCTCACTTGTCTTCCCAATTGGAGTAGACTTGAGGTGCTGCCAAGCATATGTGGCTACAGCTGCTGTCCTTCCCCAAGCTTGGATTTGACATTTCTAGGTGTTCATCAGACTCTGGTTTGGTTTTTCTCCGGTACCGGGAACCGAACTCACGACCTTGCCAGGCAGGCGCTTTGCCACTGAGCTAAATCCCCAGCCCCTGTTCATCAGAATCTGAACAAAGTGTTCTAGAGCTCACATGAACTGATGGCAAAGGACCCCATGACTTCTGTGGTGGAGGCCGAATGCAGGGAGACACAGGCTGTGAGGATGACACAGGACGTTGCTTCATCCTGTAGGGACAGGGTCCATGCTCGGACTCCACAGCAAGCCTCACAGCTCCAGGTGCAGTGACCTGCATGACCTCTTCCGTTCACTAGCCTTTTGCATCCCAACCTACAGTGTCCTTCCCACCACAGCCACAGCACATCCCAGCTGAGCTCCTCTGATGTAGCAACATGCTCTGAGTCCAGCTATGCAGCTTTGAGGAAAAGGAGTTAACTGGTCTGATATATCTGTCTTTTGTAAGTCCTCCCAGGTGGCATAGGCAACACTGAATTCCTGATGTTGGTGCTTTTTCTAGTTTGTGGGCATGCTGTCAGGAATTGAACATTTCTGGAGTGGCCCTGTAAAAGTAGACTGTTTTCCCATGTTCATTTATAAAAGAAAAAGCAAACATCTTCCAGCAAAAAAAGTTACCTGTGTTCCTTTGCAGCACCCTTAAAAGCCCATCCAGTGTAGCTGAGGCTATTTGTGTGAACAAACACTGAGACACTGCTTCCTGGAGAACATGGTTTGCTTTTAATACTGATCCCCACTTACTGTTAGAAGAATCTAGGCAGAGGCCAAAGCCTAAGCCAATCTGTGTATGTAAAAATAAAAAGAAAACTTCATTTCCAGTAAGAGTGGAGGGCAGCAAAGATAAGGTCTTTTTGGACTTCGTGCCAGAATCCTTGGGGACAGGTTCATGAAGGACCAGGGTCAGGTCCTTGTTTGCAGAGGGAGTCTCAGGGCCAGCTCAGTCAGATGATTCATGCCTGGTTGTTTGCTTCGCTTCTTGATATAGTCTAGAGTTTTCACCTAAAAGGAAAAAGAAAGACCCATCTTGTTTTATAACTCTATCGTTGGAGCCCAAGGCTCTAATAGATTGGCTATCGTGTGAATTATACTTCGCAGCAGAGGGTAAGGAATCTTGAAGGATGGTACAAGGTGAGGAGTCAGTTTTTCAAGCAAACCTTAAGTTGTAATGTGCCCTTAAAATCATACTTGGGTTTGGCCAGGAATAACAAGTTTTTATATGCATGGTTTTCATTCAGAGGGAACATACTTGAAATGCCATGCCTTTTAGCAGTGGGAAGGAACCCAGCAGAATTCTTGGGCCTGGCCTTTTTAAAAGGGGAAGACTAGAGCAACCTGATGTCCACCCCCCATGTGCAGTAGGCAGTGGTGCTCTGTGGCCTTGGCGTGGGGCCCACAGAATGCCTCACCATGGTCCTGGTATCCGCACAGCCGTGCCTCTGTGCTAGGTGCCACAAGTTGACAGAGAGCTGGTTAAGCTTATTATTGCGCAAGTCTCCATGGGCCAAGATGCTGTTGAAGAATGAGAGGCCCAGCAAGCTCTGGCGCTTCAGGGCCTGAAAGAGAAAGGGATATGACTTGGGCTTGGTCTGTGGACAAGGCTGACTGAGTAAGGCATGGCAGGCCTGTGTTCAAGTGCACACTTGCCACTTGCTTCCCTGTCTGCTGTAGGGAAAGGTGGTTCACCTCCTGAGTCTCAGCTCTCATCTGTGAACTGAGTGAAGTGAGGACTAGGTGAGATGGTTTAGCCTCCACTGCCTCGCCTGGAACATGGAAGACACTCAGGTCACTGGATCGAGGAATGAAACTTAACCAGCAGTAGCTAAGCGTGGTGGCACATGCCTATAATCCCAGCACTTGAGAGGCTGAGGGAGGAGGATTGCAACAGGTCTGAGACTAGCCTCGGCTACATACTGAGTTCAAGGTCAGCCTCTTGGACTACATATCAAGACCCTATCTCAAAAATAAAAGAGAAACTTAACTGGCAGTGAAAAGCTTTCTCACTTTAATGCAAGCACAATTTAAAGCCAAAAGGCATGAGCATGTCTTTCAGATGTGCCTCACCATTCCTGCAGCTTTAGGTGTAACAATAGATACTGTATTAAGTGATTTCTCATGAACAGAGTTCCCCAAGGTTTGGTGCTGACATCCAGCTTCTCCAAGAACCAATCCTGTCAGGACAGATCAAACTAGACCCCAACTTTGAGGCAAAAAGGAAAGCCAGTCTCCAAAATGCAGTGATAGGCCAGCTTTCCAAAGGTAAATGCAAACACCTAGATCGGCCACACTGACAGGTGGACCAGGCCCAGTTATACAGTGCCAGCCACTGGTGAGCCAGTGCTCCAGGTCCTTGCTGTTGAGTCCTGCTTGTGCATATGCTTTGTTACCAGGCAGCTGAAGGGTATAAACTTCAGAGTACACCAGGGCCACTGCTCGGTGCTTCACACAACTGACCCAGTCTGCGTGACAACTTGGTGACAGGTACACTGACAACGATCCAGCATTCTATCACCTGGCTATTCATGCAGGTAGAATTACAGAGGTAGACCCAAATGAATGACTTAAGCCCTTAAAAGCAGAAAAATTTCTCTAGCCAGAGTGAGAGACAAGCAGTGGGAAAAGAAGAGGAAAGATGGGCAGAAAGGAAGGTCAGAGAAGTTTAAAGGTCTTGCTCCACCATTGTTGGCTTTCACAATGCAGGAAGGGGGTCAAGGGATGCAGGAAGCTTCCAGAAGGTGAGGAGGCCCCATGGGCAATAGCCAGGAAGCAGGACCTCAGTTCTACAACTACATGGAGTTGCATTCTTCCTAATAAGCTCCGCCAACCAACACCCTGAATTCAGTTTTGTGAAACCTGGAACATAGCCTGCCCGGCCAGCGCCAGCTTCTCACCTGCCCAATTGTCAAGCCATCACTGGGTGCTGGTCTAAGCTGCCAAGATGGTGGCTGTGGGACACACAGAAAGTTGACATTCCCATTGTGCAGACAAGGAACCTGAAGCTCTGAGGGGCTAAGGAACATGCCCCAGGACCCTACCAGGAGGTTGCAAAGCAGACTTGAGCTCAGGCAGACTAGAGCCCAGGCATATGTCCACGGTCTGCCCATACCACAGACCCACAGTGGGCATCGCAGTCAGGAAGCAACTGAGCTGACCAGAAGAGCCTGTGGAGAAGCGGGTGTGCAGTAACTGACGCCGCAGCAGGCACAGGGACAGGAACGGCACCTGCCAGGCACACTTCCTACCTGGCTGGGTATGGCCTGCTCTGGCTTCATGCATCCATCAGACCTCACGGTCCTGCCCCAGTCAGGACCCTATGCCCATCTGCCCGTGCCCATCTGCTTCCCTTTGGAATTGGCCATGTCTGATGCCCACAACAACAGGATGCTTGTTTTTCTGCTAAGCTAAAAGAAAATTCTGCTGCAAATCTAACTAAAAGCATCTCCCCTGAGAGAGGCCTCATAAATACATTTCACTGAAGTGAGGAAGATTTTTAAACAGTCAAACAAGGAACAATATCTAACTGGGGATTTCTTTGCCGCAGAACTCCTCAATAAGCATTTTATCCTAAAAAGCTCAATTCACAAGTTTACCACCAGAGCCACGTCTGAGGGCCGCAGAGCCATGCCAGCGGATATCCCAAGACAGAAAAACACGAACATGTCACAGCAGAGCCAGATCAGGGCCTCAGGCCATCACTGCTCTCTACGGAGGTTTTAAATAGAAAAGAGCTGCTTTTCCGTCTGTTCCTGGGATTTGTCATTTCCAGGAAGCTCTAGGGTTCTGGCATGGTTCCCAGCTCACCACACCCAAACATCTTCATAAGGCTCATGATTAAAAAGGCCTGACTCCTTCCTTAGAGGTCAATTCTGGAAACAGGGCTTTATTTGCACTAGCAGATGTGACACATCAGCAGTGAGGGACCCCTGCCCCTCACTGAAGGGTACGCCAGCGACTACAGGGGCCCAGCACCAACCTCAGGCTCCTAGTGGGTAACTACTGACCGGAAAACTCCAACCTGTGCAGGCATCCTAACTGAACTTCACACAGCATTGGTAAAACAAGGATGAAGTGTTTAGTTTCACCTTGGTCCATCCATATTTTTCCAAAGAATGTGCATATTTGGACATTTTTAGTTAAGTCCCCAGGTTTGATGCAAGATGAAATATCCTTAGAAACATCCCAGCTTTGCTATTTTCGGAAGCCTTTCAGAGTTATTACCATCAATCTCCTCTTCCCTCTCCACAAAGCAAAATGAGAAATATTAAATAATTAGAATTATATAGCTGTATTTGTGTTCCATGCTGGGGGCTCTAAGCCATGATCACTTATGGCCAGTGGCCCTGCTGATGAAGCCGGTTCACTGCCTGAGTGTGACAGAATCTATCAAAGCTTTCGTGGCTGACTCCCATCAAACCTGTTGCTGCTCTGAGAGGCATATGGACTAGAAGATGGTGGCAGAGCCACTGGTTTTAGGAAATCAGAAGAGGTGTCAGAAGGACTTTTCATGGGGGTGGGGAGATCTCATTACTGTGAAAATGGGAGCTGAAGGAAAAGGGTGGTTTCCATTTCTCCTGTGGGTTACAAAGGCTCCCTTGTGAAAGGTCCTACACAGACAAGGAGAAGCAGGACCCTTGACCCGCAGATTCTACAAAGTTCATGAAAGGGGACTAGGGCAGGGGAAGAGGTTGTGCTTCTGCTGATCCTCGCT